ACGAGAATGGTGGTTGAGAAGTATTAAATAAATTTTGTTTATATTTCAAGAATTTAATAATAATGAACTAAGTTTTGTTTACAAGTTTATCATATTTTATAAAATATTACTATTTCAAAAGACATACTTAAGCTTATTTATGTTATAATATTGTAAAAAGCTTTACATGGACAATTTAAAAAAATTAAAGTCATATTTTGAATTATTAAAAAATGTGTTTATGTAAAATTGGTATATATTTTTTCCTATGAGAAAGATTTTATGTGTATATTTTTTTTTCTTAATTAATACTATCCACTTATTTATATGTAACCAATTATACAGTTTACTATCGAATCACCGTAGAGGGAGTATGTAAAAGTCATTACAATTATATAAGAAATCATATAATATAAACTTCTGATTTTGAGATTGTAATACGATGAAAGTTTTCTTTTAACAGTTATTGATGTTATTACATATGATTTTTATAGATATTTTGTCACTTTAAATGCGCATAAAACATGCTATAAAATTAATTTTTTATAATGACTACAATTGAAGTGAAAATTGGTTAATAATACACTGAATTTGAAATAAATTAATTAAATAATTAATGAATAAATTTAGTGTTCTGTTGAGACAAAACCAGTTGCGTGTAACTTATCTTCCCCAATACGAAGTTACGTAAAAATGGATTATATAAGTTATTTGCATTGCATTTTAGGTGGTGTTTTTTTTCCTCTCTTTACAATCACTTAAGATTGCATGCAAATTAGTGAAGCTAAGGCTGCTAATGGATTTAGGTTTTGATAATAAGTTGTATTAATAATTTAATAAGTTAATACCCAGTTTCTGACAGCTATATAAATTCAATGGCATGTAATATATGCAATAAAACTTGGTTGTTGATGATTAAGTATATATTATTTGAGCATTAAAATATAGATTGATTACATGTAACGAAGAAACAAATAGAAGAGGACAATGCATGTGTTAACAAGGAGACATAAATAAGCCGGCAAGAGTGACAGATAGTAATGGTTTTGCCTTTATATAATCCAAAAATATGCATGCAGATTTCAAAACTGTCATGGTCTTGGTGGTCAAATCGATGATAATCTGAAACCAAATTCAACAATATTCATAAAGGATAGTTAAGTGTACGATAAGGATACTTCACAGCTGAATGCATGATATCATACATACATGTAGAACGAAAAACTATATATTTCCGAAACTTAATTATCGTAAACAAAAACTAAGTTATTTAACTTTTCAATACGAAATATTTAATTTTTTTGAAATCAGGATAATATGGTTAAATTAGAACATATAATCATATTAACCTCGTCAAGCCAAAACATACACTGTGATCCCAATATATGATTTCATTATATGAGATAATGAGTAATGACCTAATGAAGAGGGTATGGATGAACAATGAATTCTATACTTTATTGTGCTGACCATGTAGCCAACAATGACAAAGATGGGGAGCAATTATAATGAGCTAGATAGATGGTTCAAAACAAGCAAAGGATGTAAAGTAAACAATGGCTAACGGGACACGAAACGAAACTCACAAGATGATTGATGGAATTGAAACTTGACGGTAACCTTGCCTACCTAAATATGTGCGTGGGTTGGAGAGAAAGAAAGACGTGGGTATTAAAAAAACGATATATTAAATATCGTAATGAAATTTAAAAGGGATCTTTTGTATTCACTCCATGCAATGAATGGTCTTTGTCATAAATCAATCTCCATAAGGAACTATTTGAAATTTGGAAGTGAATAATAATGGCGCCTGACATTGTACCTAAAATCTACAATAATACACCTCATGTTGCTTGCATCGTTAGAATTAGTGGTGATAGAAATTAAACACGCCATAGCAAGTTCAAGTACTGTTCCAACCTTCGAGGTTACTCTTCCAAACCCTTAAACTTTCCTCCTTATGATATCTAAAAACAAGTGAAGTATTCCAATGAGATGCTTCTAAATATTAAACCTTTTACAAGACGTAAAACAGTTTAACCTCACATTTTAGAGGAAAAGCTCATTGTTTTTAAAAAAATATATATGCCCAACCTGTCAAATTGTAGTGTTTGTAAGTCAAGAAGAGTTTGGCAGTGACAAGGGATGGTAAGGAAGAAGAGACAAACGATAAAATATGCATATATATTGGTAGCCAGCATAGCATGCATTGGCCCAAAATTCACGTGGTATCGCAGAGGGTGGCTGGGTGGCCACATTTTCAGGGGTCACCTCATTCATGCATGTTTGGCCTTCAGGTACTTTCATTTTCCTTCACCATTGAATCTCTTCTCCAAACCCCACCCGTTGCTTTCAATCAACAACTCCATGGCCTTCCAACTTCGTTTCTACCCCTCTCTTGTTTCTCCAATGGAGGACGGCCCCCCAACCCTAATCCCGCTCCACCTTCACAGCCTACGCTCTAGCTAGCATCGTTGCACTATTCAAGACAAAGATGTATGACTCAAAGGATCAGTGAATTTATTCAAACACAATTAGTTCCACACTTGTTTTCTTAAATCAATAATTACAATGTGATTATTGAAAATATCACTTTATGCGTTAATAAACAACAAAATTACTAATTCAATGTCACACAAAAAATCTATGCATTTATTTATTACCTAATCATTTGTGAAGTTATTGCCCTTATAGGCTCAGCTGCTTAATTCATGTCTTTTTTGCTGTGTGTATAAATTTTTTATTAACATATATATATATATATATATATATAAATTTACTCTTACAATAAGGAATCCTCATTTATATAATAATAATAATAATAATAATGCGATAATATGATGAGATGTAATAACTTTTTCTTTTTGGTTCAAATAATAACTTGCTCAGATTGGGGGTACAAATGAGGACAATACGTTTTGCAGGCCTGTTAACTAGCCCATTGTCACTTGTCATTCACTGGTTTTTTCATTTTTTTTTTCCACAGACATGAAAAGTTCATTGTGACTTATGGGTTAAGTTTATTGGGCCAATTTAGGCCCATTTATATTCAGTATAAGTGTTTCACAAGGTTATAGGCCTGGGGTCTATAATCTATATCCTAGGTGTGTGACAAAACAAGACCGCTGGTCCGCAGAAACGGCCCCCGCTCCATTCCGTTTTAATTTATAGATATATATATACATATATATTTAAAATATATATTTAATTTATGAATACTGTCTAATTTTTTTATTTAATTAATATATTTTATTAAACAAATTGAAAGAATTATTATTTTTATATGTTAAATTAATTAATTATAAAAATAATAATTTATAAATATTTAAAATTTAAATTATTATAGTATCATAGACTTTTTTTCATAAATAATACTGTTTTCAAAAATATTTACCAAAATAACATCTCTGCAACTTTATTTACACAACTAGCACCGTTTATTGTTCACATAATAAAATAATATTATTTCACGCAATCATTTACTCGTTCACTATATTAAAATAATATTATTTCGCGTACTGAACTCTCGCTCAAGCGAAGAAAACCTTCGCTTGAGCAAGGAAACCTGTAACAAAGGGGTAATATGGGGTAAATTCTCGCTCAAGCGAAGGTTTTCTCGCTTGAGCGAAAAGTATGATCGACTATTATCCATTTATAGTCGATCACTTTGACATATATGACTTTAGATAGCGGTTATTTGGTCAACCGCTATCTAAACTACTACATTAGAAAGCGGTTAAAGCCTAACCGCTATCTAATATATATTTTTAAAAGCGGTTGTTATCAACCGCTATCTAAAGTGACTCAAGCGAAGAACACATCGCTTGAGCGAGGACAACAATCTTTTACAACAATCTTGAGCGAGGAAAAACACATCGAAAAACACATCGCTTGAGCCAGTCTCCAGCCAAATTCCAGCTGGGTTCCACTAGAATAGATGTTTTACGGACTCAACAATCTTACACCTAATCTAACACAAGAACCAACTTCCAGTTCTTGCACTTAACCTCTCCACCAAGAACCAAATTCCAGTTCTTGGAAACCTCTGCAACCAAATTCCAGACTGCAGAGAACCCAAGTACCCAAATTCCAGGCACCACACAGTATAACCACAAGAACCAAATTCCAGCTCCTCGTGCTCAACCTCTTACCAAGAACCAATTTCCAGTTCTTGATAACCTCCACAACCAACTTCCAACTGCAGAGAAAACTTGTGCCCAAATTCCAGTGCACAACACAATACAAAGTAATGAAAAAGAATTTACAAAGAAGTTTGTTTTTAAAGAGAATTTTCAAATCTAGCTGCATTAATTAATCTGTTGAAAGTTTGTTTTAATATGTTGAAATAGCCGTTATAATCTGTTAAAAGTCCTTTCAACCCATTAATGCGTTCTTGTTTCTTTAACGAATGTTTTTAGTTGATACAACCATGTTTATATCAGCTTAAAACATTTTACAAACATTTACTGAGTGATTCAATCGATTGATTCGCGTTTTAATCGATTGATTTGCTTTAAAACTTTCTTATAAAACTTTTCAAGTTATTTTAACTGATACAAAGAAGTTTTAATCGATTAAAAACATGCACAGAATTTTTCTAAGTTGTTTTAATCGGTTGAAACGCGTTTTAATCGATTGAAACTCTGTACAAAGATTTTCCAAGTTATTTTAATCGATTGAAATGCGTTTTAATCGATTGAAACTCGTACAAAAATTTTCAAGTCATTTTAATCGATTGAAATTCGTTTTAATCGATTGAAATATGTCTGATCGGTCATAATTCAATTCGATCGATCATAACCAACTCGATCGGTCATAATTTCATTCTGATCGATCATCCTGACTTCCAAAGTGGTTTTAATCGATTAAAATAAGTTTGTATCGATTAAAATACTGAAAAATCAAGAGCCGAGAGACCTACACCTGCTTGTAGCCCGAACTTGAGTAAGAGCATGGGTTCTGATAGATGACCAGGTCAAAACATCCAAATTTACCGATTAGACCCTCAAGTTTTTTACTAGTCAGCTTTTGAACGTCTTCAATCCGAACCAAAGTCCCAGCTTGCCCAGATTGACGCCACCACCTCTCAAGAATCTTTCTATTTGGCGCGAAGTCTCAACCGAGACCCGAGTTTGAATTTGCCAATCCACACAAGATTTAACCCACGACAATATCGAATAATGTCTTCCTGCAGCTTTAGATGTAAGCACTCCACCCGCATCGCCTAGAATCTTCCCAAGTCTATCACAAGTTTGAGCTACTCCACTCGGTTTCACAATAAATGCTCGCTCAATTGCTTCCTTGAATCCCAAGGTGGCCACCATTTCTTTGTCCGCGGAATTACTTCTTCTATAGTCATAGGTGGCATTGGAAGGATGAGGACACCCATTTTTCCAGGTGTCCTCGCTCAAGCGATGTGTTTTTCGCTTGAGTCACCTTAGATAGCGGTTGATAACAACCGCTTTTAAAAATATATATATGATAGCGGTTAGGCTTTAACCGCTTTCTAATGGAGTAGTTTAGATAGCGGTTGGCCAAATAACCGCTATCTAAAGTCATATATGTCAAAGTGATCGACTATAATTGGATAATAGTCGATCATACTTTTCGCTCAGCGATAAAACCTTCGCTTGAGCGAGAATTTACCCTAGATTACCCCTTCGTTACAGGTTTCCTCGCTCAGCGAAGGTTTTCTTCGCTTGAGCGAGAGTTCAAGTACGCGAAATAATATTATTTTAATACAGTGAACAGTAAACACGAAATAATATTATTTTATTACGTGAACAGTAAACGGTGTGTAAATAAAGTTGCAGAGGTGCTATTTTGGTAAATATTTTTGAAAACATGAAAAAAAGTCTATATTTGCATCTTTTAAATAACATAACGCAAAAACAAATAATCGTATAAACTATGGTTAATTTTATTTTAATTTTCATAAATTAATTTGTAACAGTAAACCGTATTAAAATTGGGCTGGATAAGCATAGAGCAAAAGCCCGTCCAAACCGGTTTTATGTAAACTGTTTAGTCCAGTCCTGTGTCTGCTAGGAAAACTGTGTCGTATTGTTATTCCGAGAATCCAATCAAGGGGTTAGGGTTTTAACGCAACTCACACCTCAGCGAAGCTAGGAATTCCCTCATAATTCACATCTCCGATATCTCGTGAAGCCGTTTCTCTGCAAAGAGGTGGTTCAACTTAACTGACAGTGAGATGGGTGCACATGCAAAGAAAGCTATGAAGAAGAACCTGAAAAGGGTTTCGTCTAATAAGCTGTCTCAGGGTGCTGATTTTTTGGTGCGTTAATAACACCGATCCGCGTGTGCACTCGGTTTTCAATTTACTTTTCCTTTATTTTTCAATTTTTGGGTAAATATTGTGTTTAATTTTGTTTCTGAATTGGCGAAGCCCTTGGAAGGTGGTTCTGCTCGCAAGATAGGAGAACAGAAGCCGCCAGAGAATACCGCCACGGTTTTGTACGTGTCGAGGATTCCGCATGGATTTTATGAGAAGGAAATGGAAGGTGCTTTTGGATTTTTTTTTTTTTCACATTTTAGATGGTTTTTGTGCTGTGTGTTTAGGGTTTATGATTGCTTTTTGTAGGTTATTTTGGGCAATTTGGAACCATCAAGAGGTTGAGAATCGCGAGAAATAAAAAGGTTAGTAGCGTGCTTGTTAATTTGTCTCCGTTATATATCCATGTTTGTTTTTGTTTCCATAATTGTGTGGTTGTGTCAACTTGTGGCATACTTTGTTTATTCTGATGTATTTACTCATGTAGTTAATGGCACCTATGGCTTCTACGATTATTTTTGTAGAATGTTTTATTTCAGTGGATGGATGTGTGTCTGCGTGCCCACGCACTCGTGATTGCACACTTATTTAGTTTTGCTTCTGGATAGATAATGCACTCCTATGAGGGTCAATCTTGACTTAATGCAATGTATGGCTGTATGGTGAATAATGACTGTTCTTGTCTCATCCCCTCTTTGTGCATGTGTGTTCTTAATTTAAGAACATGTTCCAATGCAAAACCATAAATTGTGTTGTTAATAGTTATAAGTTTCTCATAGAAGTAGAAGCCTCCGTAAATCAATCAATATTATAATAATTTTGCTTTTGTTTGCTTCTTCACTTTTGAAAAGATGTATGGGTTTTCAATCATTAAGTTATTTGTTTAGTTAAAATACTATGCTTCTGCAATATTTATTTGTTGTTTTTGTTTTAGTGATGATTAATATTGGTTTTAGTTGATTGATACTGAGTATGTGTTTCTTGTTCTTTGACAGACGGGAAAATCAAGACATTTTGGGTACATAGAATTTGAATCTCCTGAGGTATTCGTTGTTTCTGCTGACTAATTGATGTGTTGTGACTTGTGACATTATTTTTGGGTACTATTATGTTTGTATCAAAATCCAATTTCCTTTTAATAATGCCTTGAATTGTAGGTAGCAAAAATTGTAGCTGATACTATGCACAATTATCTCCTCTTTGAACATCTTCTACAAGTTTTTGTGGTACCTCCAGAGCATGTCCATTCAAGATTGTAAGTTATTAATTAATCTTTTTCAGATCTATTTTTTTTAAGGATTCGTTACATGTTTTCTTAAGCCTATACTGTTAGTGTCTAACTGTATTTTCATTTCACTTCCTTTCTTTTACATCTGTGTGAAAAAGAAAGATATCTATTTAGAGTATTGAAAAAAAATAAAAGAACCAACGGACAGACGATTAGGAATTCCGTCAACCAATGAGTGGAGTGTTGGCTAGACTTAGATAAATAGTTCTATTACCACTTCTGTTCCATGCATGGTAGAACTTCTATCCAGTTCTTCCGTTACAAGCCCATCAGTTTGGTGACATTTTTGTGCACAGGCAAGATTATTATTCTAACACACCCAAATAAAAAACCCACTGGACTGGATCTCAGAAGATACTCTGAACGGAATGTCAAATAGTAGCGAGGAAAACTGTCATACCCCAAAATGTGCATGAATAGTTGGTTAAATATTCTAGCATTGCATTTTTACCAAATAACCCCACATGCCAGAACGTTATTGCAATCCTGTAAAATTACATATTATATCATGATAGTTGAATTAGTGGCATGTGTGCCTTGATTAAAGGTAAAATAATTAGTTTCTTCAGTTAAATATCACCATAAGTAACAAATGCATGTGTCATTTTTCATTGTAGATGGAGAGGATTCAATTACCGTCACAAGCCATTGGATTATGTCCAAATTGAACGGAAGCGTCATGACAAGGTATCTAGTTCAATGGATGATGAAGTATACCGACTTGATATTGCTAGTCTGATTCTCAATATAATGTTCTGTTTCTTGATGTTGTCATTCAGGAAAGAACCTTGGAAGAGCACAAGAAAATGGTGGACAGGATTCTAAAGCATGACCAAAAGCGACGTAAAAGAATAGAGGCTGCTGGCGTAGATTACGAATGCCCTGAGATTGTGAGTCTCTTGCTTTTATCATTCTGTGGTTGCTCATTTGTAGATTACGAATACATCATCTTACATATGTAATTGCTCTTGCAGATCGGTAACATCCACCCTGCTCCAAAGAAAATAAAGTTTGATGACTAAGTGGCAAACCTGTCTCATATCTTGAAAAGATCGTTTTTATGTACGCCCTGAAAATTAATTGACTTCTCATCTACCATATTACGAGGGTTCACCAGAGTATCTGTTTTAGGATATATAAGTATTAGGAAATTTCGCAATTTTGGAACTTATCAAACCTTGTATTCCCATATATTTAAAGACATTTCATATATTCATCAACTTTTGAAGTAGTTGATCTCCTTCAAGCTAGCCCCATTCTTTTGACAACCCGCCTATTTTAATTCTTTTTTCACTCCCTCTTGCTTCCTCATACTCTCCTTCCTCCATATACCTCATTTTCAAATAGCTTACTGTCTCATTAAAACCATTTCCCTTTTTTGGTATCAATTGCATTTTTAACGGGTTTTTTTACCACATCTTATTGCTTCGTCTATTATTTTTTCACTTTGACGATTTGGCAAAAAAAAATGTTTAATTTTTTGACTTCTCATCAGAATATGCAAGGAAAAGGGAAATTGGTGTTTATTGTATGTTAACAATAGAGATTTGGAAATGTCAATATTGCCTGTAGTTCTCAATATGCATACTTATGTTAGGCTTCAAATGTTAAGTTCTTAAAATTCCTTCCATATTTTTCAATGTAACATTTGGTTTTATACTATAGATCAATTAGGTGTAATTTTATAATTTATTTAAAAAACATAAGAAGAATGATTTTCATTTATTTTGGACTATATATCCCTTCCCTCTCTCCAAAACATTTTCTTTTTTACAAATCATATCAATTGTATTAATCTCTACTTTTATTGAGGTTAATTCGAATACTTTTAGAATAAGTGCTTGATTTTTGGTATATGTTATGTAACTATTTTTAAAGATCATGTTGAAGATCGACCATTATTACGTTAGGTTCCAACAAACAAGTAAAAAAAAGTTTCAACTCATTCCTCATCCAACCTAGTAATCTACTTCCACGGTGCACTGAATATAAACCTACTTCAGAAGCATTGAAAGAAAAATAGCACAACTGGAAAACTTGAAATAATATCTTTTCTTAAAAAACAATATTTAAAGTTTCAACAAAAAGATTAACTGTTTCCACAACATTCAGCTTCTAGGATGACCATGGAATCATAAAGTTTACTAATGCTTGAAAATGTACGAGATAATGTCTGATACAACTTGCACCTGCAAGATGATGTAAGATAAAAATGCTTGGTCATTCTCTTCACACTTTCTTTCTTTCCTATTAAACTTTTTCGAAGCTTTATTACTTAATTCCTATTGAATATATGAAATGAAACAAAAAATCATGATTTATTTTACAAAAGCATCAGACCATAAATCCAATTCAGTAGTTAATGAGAAATTACAAATTTAGGATTAAAGTAAATATTTAGCTAAATACTGAAACAATGACGACTTACATCAATAACTTAATGCATGTCAGGAGTAATTTTTTCTCCAATCCTTTCAAAACCTCTGCATCACACACCAGGCGGAAGTTGGTGTCACTATAAATTGTATGCATAAATGTTCTGAAGTTTATATCAAAGTAGATCGATGTAACCAAGCAAACATATATTCAATGGCAAAAGTCATTTCGATATTGAACTTGTTTGAGGAGAGTCTCATGAACACCATTTCCTTTCTGTCAATCAAGAACCGCAAGATTTGAAAAAAAATGGAGATGATGACAAATTCATGGATTGATTTTCTATGAAATTTTACTAGTACCATAAAGATTAACCCCTTCCATATACTGTAGAATTTGCTCCATTTCTTTCACGATTCTAAAAATAGTGATCCTTTTGCTTCAACCCTCTTGCATGAAAATGCGCAAATTAGTCATAAAAGGGAAAAAATTATAATAAATAGATGCAACAAACAATAACCATCTACAACAACGAACCGAAAACTGATTAAGATAAGAAGAAACATCCTTAATAATTACTCACGTAAAAAAGATCATTTTGTTTGCTTAATTACAGATATTTCTTGCTTTAAAACAAATCTTGGATATTTACGAGGTTTCTAAATAAACATCTGGAATTTAATCAATGTTTAAAAATCTTCATTAATTTTATTCATTTTTATGCCATATTAACCTCCGATAAATATTTTTTTATAAACATTAATTTTTTTACTGAAAATAACTGATTTAGTAACTACATATGGAGAGATACTTTTTACTTCATAAGTAAATTATTAAATTATTATCTTCAAGTAAACTAATTAACTCGAGGCATTGATGTAAGGTGGTCCAAATAGAATAAATAATATATTGTCTCTTCTATGGACGTAAGGCATTAATATTTTCTTTCTGTAGAGGTTTGCCAAAGTTAAGAGTGTGAAAGCCTCAAGGAAAATTTATCAGACCGACAATAACCTTGTAAAATTGTTTTATTTGGATTAACTATATACGCATGATTGTATTTTAAAATAATTTTTTTGCTCATAAAAGAAAACAATAATAAATGCCAAATCATCTAACGTTGATGGACTATTGTATTGTAATAAAAATTGACTTTAATTCAAAACTTGAACCTCTTCTCTCAAATTTTTCTTTATTTTTCATCCACTCAACCAAACGGCCCTAACAAACAGTTGTAGCTCTAAATAATGTGGCAGTGGTTGGTTAATGCATGATTACTGAAAGGTATCTGTGAAACAATTTTATTGGCAAAAATTTTCGACATCGTGTAATGAAATATGACCATGTTCATCAAACATTTCCAAAAGTGAAAAAAAACATATTTAGTAATGTTGTTGGCTAAACATCAACAACTATAGTAGTCGCCATTGTTGTAGGAGCCAGTTAGCAGTGTTGCTTTGAAATGTTAGGCACTTCGATTACACGCTTTTAATTGAAACTTTCAAATGGATCCAAGAGGAAGTGACAACTAATAAACCCAACATTTACTACTATTGCACACATGGAAAAACAGAAGAAACCCGCACGAAATTTCAATTCTGCATGAACCAATGGTGTTAGAGCAATGCCCCATTGGCGAGGTAATTGGAGAAAATTGATGTCAGATAACAACCAAACACTGGATATTTCCATTCCAACTGCTTCGTCACCATTTTTCAGACAATGACCTCTTAAGTGCACGTACTTGGAAAACCATGAAATTTTATGCGTTTTCGTTTCTCAGCAGCTTCTACCTTGTGTGTGTTTGTGTGTGACAAAATTTCCATATGCTATGTTTATTATTTATGTGGCTTCTTTTTGTCCATATTCCTCAACTGTCTGTCATATCACCGGGAAGAAACAAAAAAGGGATCGAGTTTTCTAGATGGAAAGTGATTACATGACAGAGAGCAGCAACATGTGTACTTTGTTATTTGTGGCGGGAAATAGGTTGTGTATGTGCTTCAGTTCAGTGATAGTTAATCAAAATGTTCATATCAGAATGAGAATGGAATGTAAGTTAGAAGAGAATCTACTAATTACTTTTGTGAAACATTTCTTAACTCTGACTGCTAATCTAGGATTGTAATCTTGAATCCTTCCTTTTTTTTTTTTTTAGTAGTTCACCCATAAATTATTCGTTTTGATACGATAATTGAATATTTTCGAAAAGATTAAAAAAAAATCTTATAAATAAGATACAATAGAAAATATGATTATATAATATCATTTAAGAATATTTCTTAAATTTTTCACTTTTCTCATTTTTACTAATGTAAAGTTTTAATTCAGATTTGATTTTTAATGAAAAAAAAGGCTTAAACAGAAATTTGTAAATAAAAAATTATTGAAAATTTAAAATTTTAGTTAGACTTATTTTTATTTATGAGTTTTCATAAAAAAAATTAATATGTTGTTCTTCATTTCAAATATAATTGATAGAATACATCATTTTTATTGTTAAGTTAAACAATATACAAAAATATCTCTAACAATAATAATTCATATGAATTGTTTCTTGTGATAAATATATAAAATAGGAATTTGGTATGTGAAATAATTATTAAATAATTAATAATTTATTTTATTCTCATAGTTTTTTTTTAAATTTTAAAAAATTCAGTTTCTCTTCTTATTATCCTTGTTATATTCATTTTTGTAAGTTATTTTATGAAATAATTATAAAAAAATTTAAATAACTTACCACGTAAAATTCTTTTCGTTTTCTTTATTTTATTTATTTTTTAAGTTATTTTATAAAAATAATTTAAATAATTTACCATATCATATAAAATTCCTTTAATGGAAAATCGTCTGAAGTAATTAATAGTTTTCTTAATATTTCACCAAACAACTTTTACAAGAAATGTTAAACCGATATTAAAACACAATATGAATGCTTTAATACTCATATCTTTAAGTAAATGAAGAATAATCCACGTAACCATTGTATTCGTTTTTTATTATCAAAATTTGTAGACTTTTCATCAATTAAATTAAACATATAAAAAAATAACAATTAATACTTCCATCTTTTTCTCACTATTTTTCTAAATTTTTTCTCTTTTTATTATCACATTTTATTAATATTGAGGTATATATTTATATTTTTTAAGTGATAAAAAATACTTATTTTTTATTTATGTTTTTAATATCTAAAGATTAAAGTGATATTAGTTTGAATCCTTAAATTTGAAAAAAAAATCATTCAAAATTGAAAAATAAATTATTTTAGTGCCTAAATAATAAATTTGAAAGATTAAAATAACTTTTTAAAACTGTTTTAAAAAATGGAATTTATTAATTTGAAAGTGTATGGAACAAAGATAAACTACTTCAAACCCCAACAATATATTTTTCCCGATTTTTATTAATATAAAAGCGAATGGCAACAAATGTAAATGAAAGCGGAATCAGTGGGCAAAGGAATATCCGGTGGCGGATAAAGACGAATTGTTGATTTCGGCAGTTATGTGGATTCGGTGTCTTATAAAGGGATACCAGAATTCACCACACAACACAGATTCTTTGTCACTTGTACTTGAACCAAACAAAAACCTTCTTTTGTTTTGTTTTGTTTTTTTTTTCCCTAATGAGGTTCTTCGTTTCTTGCTTCGGCGGCGCCGGCGAACCCACTGCCGCCAGGAAGCCCGTCGTTCCTCCGCCTTCCCGGAATCTCCGCCGCAACAAGACCCATTGGCGGCCCGCCCTCGGATCAATTTCCGAGGAAACTGCGCCGCCCCTCAGGGAGAGGGATGCGGCGGCGGAGGCCGCCGGGGACGTCAAGAGGATTGTCAACAGCAACACTGCAAAGGCTCAACGCCGTCACTACGGCGAGGATTGCGATTACAGGTAAGGAAAATTTAAAAGCATGAAGTTTTTAAAAAGCACAATAAAAGTGAAATAAATTTATCTGGTAAAATTATGTTTTTTAAAGTAAAAATATTGGAATACGATGTGTTTTAATCTCTTTAAACTGTTTAAAGTTCAATTTTAGTTTTCTTAAAAAATGTTATCTAATTTTTAAATATGATGTGTAGATACTGTCTTTTCTCTATAAATATTATTTTAATCTTTTAAAATATCAAAAGTCATATATTTCAAAACTAAAAATACTAAAAACAAACATTTTTTGTGACATGACGAAAAGTAAGCTTAAAATTTTTAGAGTGTAGATTTTTTTATTTTTAGAAAATTGACCAGCATTTTTATAAATAATTTCGGTATTATATTTAATTGTACTTATACTATTAAATTAGTCTTAATTGATAGTTTAGTTTGAGATGCAAGAAATAGATAAAATTAAGTAAAATATTTATAGTTTAAATTGAGTTAGGTTTATTAAATTTATGAGTTGATTTATTTTAAAAAATAATGTATTTTGTAAATAAAATATAAGAGAAAGTTTATAATATTTATTATTTAATGAATTTGAATCAACAAATCATTAAAAAAATTAATAATTAAAAGAAGGAAAAATTAAATTGTTAACTCCTATTTTATAATTAAATGAATATTTTTTTATAATTTAAATTAAATAATTATATATAAAATAAACATTAATTTTATTAATATAATTTAAAATATTATATTATTTTAATTTTTATTTAAATATTTTTTAATTAATTATTTTGATATAAACTTGTTAATCATTCTTTAAAAATTTTAATCGGATGAAAATTGAGGTATTAACCTTTAACTTTTATTAATAGATGGGTGGAATCATCCTTTTATAGTCCTAATTATATTTAATGTTTGACAGTACATTTATTAATAAAAAAAATAAAAGCTTAAAATTTAATTATAAAATAGTATAAACTTTTCTTTAATTTTGTTTGAAAGAAGGGAGGGTGGTTGGTGATTTTTGCTTGATCATGCTTTTAACAAATTGCTTGAGTAGTGGGGTTATATTGGATTGGATGGGTTGTAAATTCATAAATGCCATTGGATGGAGCATTAATGGATGAGTGTCTGTAATCAAGAACCAATAATTGAAAAAATAAATGCTCATTCATATACATCATGTCACCATGGGTCATTGCCTTATCTTCCCCATAAAAAGTTGGGACTGAAATCATGCTTTCATCTTTTCTAATCCAATCATCATTGATTAGAGAGAGCTGATCCCATCACGCTCACCTTTCTGTTGCAGCCGAGTTGTCATGAACGCGATTATGCCAACATTCTCTCCTACGCCATTCATGTTCTGAACGTTACAATTTTATGTATCAAATATCATGTACATATCAATACGTGGCTTAGGACAAATCATTTAAATTTGTATTAGTTTCGCCACAGGCTCACTCGTACATATTCGCCCTTTTCATATTAATTATCTTCCTTTGTGATAATATATGTAATTAGAAGTGTTGAGTAGGAAACCTAAGCATAATTATATAATAATAACATGTTAAGTGGTTATTAATCCATTGTTTTTGTCCATACCTTCTTTCTTTGAAACCTCCTTTTGTGCTTATAATAGTGACAAATTAAAGTATATTTGTTTTCATGTATCATCAAAATTTGTAGAAGCTATATCTTCCAAACTTTTTATGATCTACGTGTCATTTCAAATAGTGTTTTAGCTAACAACACCGGAGTAATAACGATCTTTATAGGAGCTGACGGACGTGGCTTCCAAAATTTTATAATTTCGATGTAATTTAGGATTTTAATTCCTTAAATTTGAATATTTAATATATTTATTTATTTATAATTTTATCCTCTCAGTTTCTTTTAATTTTTATATAATTTATTATTTTGTCTTCCTTAAATTTAATGATGATTTAATATATTTAAGTATATATTTACAATTTTATTCTTTCATCTTCCTTTTTTTATATTTATTTATTATTTATTAATAATATATTATTTGATCCCCTCAATATCAATGTTTAACATCCGTCACTGAGGAGACTTGTGTTTATTCTCAATATATATATATATATATATATATATATATTATATATATATATATATATATATATATTATATATATATATATATTATGGATTAATATTTATATCTAAACCATTTATATATATTTAATTAAAATTTTAGGATTAATTTGATAATGTACTAATCAATATGTCATAAAAAAACAAATTTATATACCACGATATAAAATTGAGATATGATAACCATATATAAAGTAGAATTGTGTTTGTTTGTATTTTTTATGTACAACATGTATTCACTATATTTAGAGATTTATAATAATATGTATTTATGTTTATTTTTTTTACATTTTGAGTTTTATAATAATATGTATTTATGTTATTTACTTATTTATATGAGGTTTTTTATATAGTGAATAGATATTGAATATATTATTGAATTAGAAACGATTGGTTTAATAGTTTGATTTTTTGTTTAGAATTTAATTATTATAATTCTATACTTTTTCACGGTACATGAATTTAATTACTTAATAAAATAAATTAAAAAAAATAAATTAAAAGTATCATTTGTTATTAAACAAATATTTGTTTACTTAATAAATATTATAGGTTTGCGATGAAATAATATGAACTAGAATAAAAATCAAAGAAAACAAAAAATGTGAGAATTCTGATTAAAAGTTAATAAAAGTAGAAAGAAAAGAGATAAAAGACTTATGAAAATTTGAGGGTTACATAAAAGACTTATTTAAGATAAGTGGTAAAGAATTGTGATTAAGAATTAAAATTTAAGAATAATATATATATATATATATATATATATATATATATATATATATATATATATATATATCATTTTTTTTATCTCATCGAAACGTATTTTAAAAAATTATATCGAAACTTATTTTAAAAGCCAAAGATGAATTATAGTTTTTCACAATAATTCAAACGAAAAGTATTTTAAAAAATAAAACATCGACGAATTATAGTTTTCCATAATAGACATAATTCGAAGGTGATAATGCATCCCATAGACGTTATGATAACGGATACTCGTGAAATTCAAATTCCTGTATATTATATAAGTGATTTTATAATACAATAAATAACTGATTATAGCCTTATAATTAAAAATTTTAATAAAATAAGCATTAAAATGAAATAAAATTAACGGAGAAGAAAACTAAAATTCAAACTTAAATCTAATTTGGTTTTAACTCATCATCTGATATTCATTTGAGGGTCCCAAAATTTTGACAGTGTGATATCAGAAAATGGCTGTTCCAATGCTTCTTCATATTCTTCTTACTTTGTTTGTAAGTAAATCTTTTATCCCTTAGTCGATTTTTCTCTTAAAATATACTTGATTTCAATTATAGCCCACTTTCTTCTTAACCGAAGTTATGTTTCCTTTATCACTATAAATAAAAATATAAAATAAATCCTAATTAAAAAAAATGTTAGATTAAAAAATTATACACTTGTAACATTTTTATTTTTGTATTCCTGATGACGTGCAAAATTATAATACATCTCATGTATTTTTTTAATTCATTAAATAATTCATAATAATAATAATAATAATTGTTTAATTAATAATTAAATAAATGAAATATATTATTGCATTCTTATGTTATCAAACTAAATAAATTAGTCCATTATCTGGTAATATGTGTTAATTGGTTAGATTTTGGTAACAAACATTTGAATCCATGCTACGGCCAATCCTACCTCCTTCATTTCCCTTTCCTTCACACATGCAACTATTTGGTAGACATTTGTAGACTCCTCTTGTAATGAATGCAAGCAAATTACTTGATATTTGTAGACTTCTCTTTTCATAGATGCAAGCAAAATATTTGATAAAGATAGATAACAAGTTAGCACGTAGAAGCGAAATTATAACATGTTATAAAAATTTATCCATAACCATGTGGTTACTATTTAACCAAGGTTATAAAAAAATTACATCCAAAACGAGTTCTTTTTTAAACTCATTATGTATCTTAAATTAGCATGTATTACATCTTTTGCAATTAGCAATAATTAAAGGGAACGCAGGATGTCCGAAAACATGTTTATGGTAAGAGTCAAGAGAGTTGAATAATAACTATGAAATTTAAATTTACGGTTGAGATTAAATAGAATTGTACGATAGAGAAAGGCAACAAGAGTGTTTTAATGAACGATATATAGATTATCGGTTTTTAAATATGATGGAATACTTATGTTAAGCACAATGAAAAATGTCATTATAAAACATTTATAAATTAATTGCAATTATAATATAAGTGGTACAGGTTTTTTCTTTTATTTTCTCTCTTTCTTTATATATTCTTTGATTATTTTTGCCCAATTTCTCTTTATGGAGAAGCTGGGTGGCAAAGATGTTGAAAGTGAAAAGAAAGTAAACAATCCAAGTAAGTTATGATGCATGTCCAGCTTCTAATCCACGGAATGTATCAGGAAGAGGTTGGTTTGAAGTCTCTGGAAGAAAAAGTGCTAACACTCCTCCCATTATCCCACACGCCGCAAACACCGCAAACGGCAACCAACCACCCAAAACCACCACAAACGGCGCCACCATCGCTCCCATAGAAGCCGCTTGTGTAGTACACCCAAGAGCCGTGTTCCTCACCACCGTTGGAAACAACTCCGACGTGTAAATATACAACAAATTGTAAGTCCCCGCCATACCCGACACACCCAAAACACCACACAACATTCTCACCACCTTCCACACCCCAACGCTCCTCATCAAACTCCCCATCAAACAAAACAACCCGCTAAACCACATCGTCCCCACCATCAACGGCTTCCTTCCAAACTTCCCCAAAAGCACCGCCGTTATCGCAAACGCCGGCATCTCCCCCACTGCATTAACCAACACGTTCAGGTACAGGTTGTTTTTCAAGTTCACCACGTTTAAGCTAATCCCGTAGTACGACAAATCGCACAAGAAAGTAAGCACCATCACTAGCAATAGCCGCACACGTGTGACAGGGGAGTAAACCACGTCGAAGATGGATCCAGCACGTGCACCTTTGCTCTCTAAGCCTTCATTAGTGGTATCACTGTTTATTTCTTCGTCAAGTGCGAGCAGAATGCCGTCAGGAAGATGCTTCCCGTTGGTTGAGGCAATGGTGGACATGACGTTCATGGCCTCGGTTACTCTCCCATGAATGAGGTACCATCTTGGGGATTCAGAGATGAAGGGAAGGACGAGGATGGTGTAGAGAAAGGAGGGGGCGGATGAGGCTATGTAGAGATAGCGCCATGTTTGGAAGATGTAGGCTATGCCAGAGAGAAGTGCAATGCCGCCGGAGAAGAAGTAGAAGGTGCACATCCCCATCGCCCCGCGCTTCTTGGAGCCGATTGGTTCCGAAGCGAGAACGTAGGCGCAGAGGGCAACGGCACCTGTGCTGAAACCTGTGAGGAAGCGAAGAACAACGTAGATCCAATAGTTAGGGGACAGTGCTGTTAAGCATCCAAAGACTGCGTTTAGGGCATTAGCCACTCCTAAGCTACGTTTTCTTCCAAGAAAAGAGTCTGAGAGGTGCCCAAATACTGCACCACCTGAAATTAATAACGAAAGTTAATCTTACATGACGAATTTTTACAATTTTTTATATAATCATAATAGAGATAAGATAAGGTGGAAATAAAGAAAAGTTTAAGATAAAATTTAAATGGCATATTATAAAAATTGTGGCAAGAATTATAATGTAATACTATAGGACGGAATAAACTGTGTAAACATGATGATGGAAGATGGTTTCGTACTGTCTTCAATAAAATCTGAGATGTATGATGACATTCTTTTGCCACCATTTTGTACTTTTGAAGTCTGTTAATTGAATATATTTATAATATGGTCATTACTCTCAGTCCTCAAATTATTCTGAAAGGAAAATGACACTTTGCCAAATTAAATAATTCGATAAATTATTATATTGATCAAAGTGAGTTATTTAAAGAGTGAAATGATGTGAAAATATCCCACTCATTGTGAAAATGGCCAAAAAGAAAAACTTCAGACAGATATAACTGAAAGTGAACGAACCGATCATCCAGCCGACAAAGAACAAGGCCCGGACCAACCCAACCTTATACTTGTCACCACAAACTAAACCCCATTCCGACACGGTGGTGGCGTGGCGGCCGCCGACCCACTCCCATGATCCCGGTTTGAGTTCACAGATGCTTTTGGCGGCGGCGTGGAAGGTCAAGTGGGGTTCATGGTCGGCAAAAATCATGACCATGATGTGAAAACCTACCAAGACCCAAGAAAGGTTGGTGAGGACGAAGTGCTTAAGATGCCATCGCCCGAACTCGCCGCAATAGTGGTGGAGCATGTCGTCCATGCACATTTTTTTCACTGGAGACTGCACGCCGTTGCCTCGGCCACTGGTTTCTATGGACAACGCGGTGGCCATCTCAGTACTTGTCCTTTCGAGTTTACTCTGTTTCATGCTTGTTTACATCTATCACAGGTAATGTCCTATTTATAATAGAAAATATATTCATGAATATTCCGAGGACAGTCAGTAAGAGAAAAACAAAATGTATTGAATATAATATTATTTTGATATGAAGAAACATGGAAAAACTTTTGAAAATGTTTTTTAAGTGTTTTTTTTTTCGTATATATCATCATCACTCTTTATATTAATATTAAAGTCATTTTTCAACATTCTTAGATTAATTATTATCTTGAGAAAATTAATGTTTTGTATTTTATTAAAATTCCATTAAATGTATATAAGGTAAGGGTAATGATAATTTGTTTTTATATATATATATATATATATATATATATATATATATATAATCACTTAACAATTCTGTTTTAATAATGTGCAATAATAAAAATACATTAGAAATATAATAATAATAATAATAAAAATAATATTCATATTAATATTAATAATAGAGATATTAAATGATTACATATAAAAAATGAGTCAAAATATTATTAATATTATTATAAACATAATTTATATGTATTAAGTGATATAAAAAAATTAATAATAATGATATAATTGAAATAATTTTTTTTTTAAAAGAGGAAAATCTAAATTTGATGATAAGTGTAATGAAATAGAAAGGAGGTGAGGGATGGTTTTGTAGAGAGAGGGAAGGATTTAGAGGGGTGAGATGTTTGTTTTGTACGTAGGGCGGGGGAATAGAGGGATAAATTTTATTGTTGTGGGAAACACTTAGGTGAGGAGATTAAGAAAATAGCTTACTTTCTACACAGTTTGAGATGGACCACACCATATAAATAAAAATCATCCATTTCACACTTAGAGAGAAGAAAATATGAATTTTATAAGTCTTCCGATAAGGTTATCACTTTAGGAGTTCTCTTTAGTTTAAATACAATTTTTTTTTATTAACTCACCAACACGTCTCGTTAGACTGTGTATAAGAATTTCAAAATAAATAATATCTTTATTAATAATATTATAAGGGATATGGTGCTTAATTGAGATAAATTTATTAAAAAGAGTAATTTTCTTTAAATTTTTCAAAAAAATAAATCAAATATAGGTAAGTTATATTTTGGATTACGATTTTAATTATGAAAAAAAAATCATGTTTGAAAATGCTATTTTTTTTTTTACAGAAGTGGTATATTGATATACGACTTCAAATATTTTTTGTTATTTTTTTTATTGAATTTATGTATTGATGTACCACTTTTAATAATGATTTTTTTTTTTTAAGTTGTCTCTCTTAAGTTTATCTTTTATTTTTTAATTATTAAAAATTTAATTTTAATATGTATAACTAATAAAATAAATAAGTTTTTAGTATTTAGATATTAATAATGTTAACTATTTTTTAAATAAATTAAATTATTAGAAAGGAAATATTAATATATTATAAGAAAACGAAATTGGACTTTTATTAATATGCACAATTACTATGATAAACTTTATTCTGTATTCGTATATCTTGAAATTATGTTGAATGCATTACATTGATTAACAAAATATGGTGAGGAAGAAAATACTGTAAAAGAAAAATAAAAGATACATTGAAAAAAATTACAATATATATTAAAATTAAAAAAATATAATATGTATGATAACACCAAAAAAGTAACAATATTATTTGCCTAGGATGACTGTGACACAGTTTGTTTTCAATCCATATAATGCATTCGACCTATTACTTATAATGTCAAACAAAAATTCAAAAACGCGAAATGAAACTCATCATTATAATAATTGCACATCAGTAATTTAAAATGTCAATTTTTTTTATAATATATTAAGATTTTCGTTATCACTATATTAATATTTTTAATAATTTAATTTATTTAATATTATTAATGCTTAACCAAAAATTATCTATTTTATTAATTATAAACAATAAATAAAACTTTTAATAATTAAAAATTAAACAAACCTAAAAAACCTAATTAAAGTTAGCCATTGATTTTAGAAAAATTATATTATAAAATATGAGTCTTTCGTAGCGGTCTTATTGTAAAATATAATTTATCCATATTCAGATATTTTTTAAAAATTTATTATATATATATATATATATATATATATATATATTTATTTATTTATAAATTGGCGCTTGATGGGTATACATAAAACAGTTGAATATATTAATTGGTTATTGAATGTAGAAAGGTTCTTTAAAATGACATATTGGCTGGGAGGATTATTGAAAAGTAATTGAATTTGATGAAACAAAATAATTGTTTTGAATTTGAATTTAAATTTTATGTATAATTATATTAAATAGCAATATTTAATTCAAGCTGTTTTAATTAAAAGGCACCTATAATATTTTCAGCATAAAATAATATCTTCATATAAAATGTTATTACAAATTAACTTATATATAAGTTAATTTTAATATTTTAGAAAAGTATATATCATTTGTATTTTTATTATTGTTTTTATCTCTTATAATATTATTTTACAAACCAAATTAGTTACATGCCCTCTAAAATTATAGAAGAAAAATAGATAAAATTGAAAACAGTACATAATGCTTCGTCATAGTTATCTCTCCTACTAAAGAACATGGCTGGTTATTATGATTGATATTGAATATGGCTTTAAATCAATCATATTTTGAGTTAATTAGAATGTGATTTTAAACTTGTGGTTGATGCTTTCCATCGTGTTGATAGTATTTCTGAAAACTTCAATTTCATTCGGCTACATGTTTTAAGTTGTGTTCCTCAATTCATTTTCATTGTTCTCACACTTGAGATAAGAAAATGTATCTACAAATAGGTTAGTAATCTATAAAATGAAATAAACAGAATTTTATGTGGTCATAATTTTTATAAACAGGTATTGCCAACAAAATTTTAGGTTTACCCGTGTTTCTATATTATTATTATTATTATTATTATTATTATTATTATTATTATTATTATTATTATTATTATTATTATTATATTATTATTATTATTATTATTTTAGTTTATTGTTGATAGAGTGCAAAAGATAAACGAATAGGAATGTGTTAATTTAGATGAGATATCTTAATCTTATAGATTTTATACTTAGAAAAAAAAAGAAATGCCATCTCTAATATGGTAAAGGATTAATTGATTATGCATTACTTGATTTTCTATAATTATGTAACTTATTTTTCCTTCTAGAAAGGTACTTGAGAGAGCCACACATTTGATTTACAAGTCAAAGAAAACATACAAGTAGGCATAGCTAGATAAGATTAGGACATGAAAGATATATATTAGGTTGTGGCCAAACTTTTAAATTATTGCTTTGTTAAATAACCAACCATAAAATTGCATTAATCATTTGAGGTTACGTGATTTTAAAGAAGGAAATTATGTATGCAATTTAATATTTCAAACAATGGAAACTTAAAATTGTACGAATGAAAAATTTTAAGATTTGGTGGTGCAACATTTTAAAAACTAAATAATACATTGATCTAATAATTTCTTAAATCAAAATACTACATACACGCCACCGAAATACCTAAACTAATTACAAAACTACTCTAACTTAATTAAGAATCTCGATTTCAAATCATTAAATATAGTTGCTTAAAAGTATAAATAAAAGATTATAGATAATAAATTATCTAGAAAAGAAAGGGTGGTCAATAAAAATAATTATGACAGAGAGAGACAATAGCTCAAAGTGAAGCCACGCACTCTTTCTCTGTTTAATTTTTTCTTAAAATAAAAAAATTATTATTTTGTTTTATATTCTTATTAATGAAGATGCTATTTTTCGGGGTGGACCTTGGTCACAAGTGAAGTCATTAAAGAATTTCATAAATGAAATGGATCAATTATTGAATCTAAGCACTGCTAGTAAATCATATTTATACATATTCATCTAAAATATAATAATTCATCAAATTTTTTCTCATCTCATTTATATTTATTAATTTTGTTTTAATTTCCTTTTTTCAAAATTAATTACTTATACAAAATCCAAAAATTTAAAAAAATCCTTTTTTCTAAATTATACTCAAAATAATTAAAAAAATAAATTATTTAATATATTTTTAAATGATTTAAATTAAAATGATATTATAAAAATTAAAAAAAATTTATTAATTAATTATTGCAATAAATAATTAACTTTTAAATTTTTATTTTTATTTTTATTTAATAAATTATTAGGTCAATATTAATATAATTAGTTTTTTTTTATATTAATCAATAAAATATTGGATTGTCATTTGTATTATTTATAGTTTTAAAATATCTATCTCAGTTGAAAATAATTTAAATATAATATTTATTTAAATATATAATAAATTATATTATTATTCAAATTAAATCTTTAAACATATTTTAAATTATTTTTAAGTATAATTTTTTAGTTTTTTATTTTATTTTAAGTAACTTTGTGAAGAAATGTGTAAAGAGAGAAAACTAAAAAAAAGTGAGAGAAAAATACAATAATAAAAAGAGAGATAAAAAGAAAGATAAAAAAGAAATCTTAAATAAATACATATAAATTATCCAATTTTAAGAGATTGTATACAAACATAACGTCTTAAATGAATGTCCATATAAAATTAACTTAGTTTTTTTTTTAAATACCTTCCAATTAATTGAGTTTTTTCAATTGTTTTTTCTTATATTTTATAAAAAGTTTCCACTAAAAGCACCGTAGGAAGACATATTTTTAAAATGTGATTACAACAACTAAATAATACTAACTTTTTTAATTGGGAAAAGTTAGTTACTTTTGTTTATATTTAAACAGTCAATGTTTGCCTTATAATTTTAAATTGTCATTATGAAACTATGAAGAAGATGGAAATTAATACACAACCTAGGAGAACCAACCTATTCCAAAGGTTGTTGGAAGAAAGCAACATAAGAGAAGAATAATGCAAATGCATAAACACGAAACAATAACAAAAATATTGAATATATATATATATATATATATATATATATATATATATATATATATATATATATATGTATTAAAAATAA